AGATCGATTATCTAGTTGCATGTGTTGAAAGGTGGTTTTAACTCTTTATTCCCTCTTTAGATCAAGTGGCACTCAGATTTCTTTATTTAACTGTTTATTCATAGAGCCATACTGAACGGAAACAGATCCTTCAGTCCAACTAGTCCATGACAATTGTGTTCCCAAGCTAAACTAGTCCCACTTGCCTGCGTTTGGCCCATATCCCTCCAAACTTTTACTATTCATATCTTATCCAATGTCTTTTAAATGTTATAGCCGTACCTGCATCTACCACTTCCTCTGGCAGTTCAATCCATGTGCGAACCATTCTGTTTAAAAATGTTGCCCCTCTGGTCCCTTTTAAAACTTTCCCCTCTCACCTTAAAAGTATGCCTCCCTAGTTTTGAACTCCCCTACTCTACAGAAAAGACCCTTGCTATTCACCTTATCTATATATCTCATGATTTTATAAACCTCCACAAGGTCATCCCTCAAATTCCTATGCTCTAGTGAAAAAAGTCCCAGCATATCCAGTCTATTTTTATAACTCAAACCCTCCATTCCTGGCAACATCCTGGTAATTCTTTTCTGAACCCTCTCCAATTCAGTAATATCCTTCCTATAGCAGGGTGACTAGACTGCACAGTACTCCAGAAGAGGCCTCACCAAAATCCTGTACCATGTCAACATGATGTCCCAATTCCTATACTCCAAGGTCTGAGCAATGCAGGCAAGCATGCTAAATGCCTTCTTAACCACCCTGTCCACTATGACACAAATTTCAAAGAATTATGTACCTGAAACCCTAGATGCCTCATGCATGCTTGGGAGGTGTCGACATCAAAAATGGCAAACCTTTATTACAAAACCAAAAGTTTTATGCTATTTTTAGAGGCTTCCAATAAACTATTTGTATAGATAATTTCTAATTAAAAGATGACACTTTTTTCATCCATATCTCTATCCAATGTGTTCACATTGTCTGCATTCCAGGTTTGTATATGTGATTATATTATCCAGTCATAGTCAAACTAATGCATGTGACTGTATTATCCAATCATCACATTCACGTCTTCTAACTGTGTAAGTATATACTAGTGACTAGCAGCAAACATATGCTGTCTTTTATTTACCTTTTAGAATATTGCTTATTGCAGATGTTGAATCTTTGGTAACCGCACTGATAGTTTGATCTTGGCATAGCTGTCATTCAGTGATGCATTAAAGGCTGGATGTAACCAATAACAAGATGAACTTTCATTTGACAGTATCTCCATTAGGTCTTGGTTGCAGGATCAACATTCCTTATTTGTATGCTAGAAATCAGTAGCTATCGATAGACACTTATTCTGTTTTACTCTTGGGCCCATTTCATAGAACGTAGAAAAGTATAGCAAGGAACAGGCCCTTTGGCCCACGATGCTGTGCCGAACATGACGCCACATTAAACTAATCCCTTCTGCCTGCCCATGATCCATATTTCCCTATTCCTTGCTTATTCATGTCTATCTAAAAACCCCTATTGTGTCTGTCTCCACCATTACCCCTGGCAGCGTGTTCTAGACTCCTATCTATCTCTGTCTTAAATACACTCAATGTCTTGGCCTCCAAAGCCTTCTGTGGCAATGAGGTCCAAAGGTTCGCCATCCATTGGCTAAAGGGTGATGATTGTGGCCTTCTCAATGTGTAACTGATTCTATTTTGCCAGTCTCTCTAATGTTGGGTATATATTTCATGTTTGGCAAGATGGATTAACTGAAGGTGACAGTTGGACTGATTTCTCTGTTAGTGATAAAACAAATTAGTTTGTTAATACAAACATGATTCACATCTATCACTCTTGCTGTCACCAGGATACTATTATATTGTATTAATGTTTGTTAACATGTTGATTAGAAGTATCTACCCTGATGAACTCATGCTGAGATGACTGACCTCTAACAACCATAACAATCTTCCTTTGCCGAGTAATAGTACTGAAGACTTGTGCTCCAGAACTTGCCGCTCCCCTAGCCAAAATGTTCCAGTACAGTTACAACGCTGGTATCTACCTGACAATGTGTAAAATTGCCCAAGTATGTCCTGTACACACAAAGCAGGACAAATCCAACTGGCCAATTACCGCCCCATCAGTCTACTCTCGATCATCAGTAAAGTGATGGAAGGTGTCAGTAACAGTGCTGTCAAACAGCACCTGCTCAGTGACGCCCAGTTTGGGTTCCACCAGGACCACTCAGCTCCTGATCTCATTACAGCCTTGGTTCAAACATGGATAAAAGAGCCGAATTCCAGAGATGAGATGAGAGTGACAACCCGTTTCATCAAGGCTGCGTTCGACCGAATGTGGCATCAAGGAGCCCTAGCAAAACAGGAATCAATGGGTATCAGAGGGCAAACTCTCCGGTGGTTGGAGTCATACCTGACACATAGGAAGATGGTTGTGGTTGTTGGAGGTCAATCATCTCAGCTCCAGGACATCTCTGCAGGAGTTCCTCAGGGTAGTGTCCTAGGCCCAACCATCTTCAGCTTCTTCATCAATGACCTTCCCTCCATCATAAGGTCAGAAGTGGAGATGTTAGCTGATGATTGCACAATGTTCAGCACCATTTGTGACTCCTCAGATACTGAAGCAGTTCATGTTCAATTGCAACAAGATCTGGACAATACCCGGGCTTGGGCTGACAAGTGGCAAGTGACGTTCGCACCATACAAATGCCAGGCTATGACCATCACCTATAAGAAACAATCTAACCACCGTCCCTTGACATTCAATGGTGTTACTATCAGTGAATTCCCCCACTATCAGCATCCTGGGTGTTACCATTGACTAGAAACTCAACTGGACTCATCGCATAAACACCGGCTACAAGAGCAGGCCAGAGCTAGGAATACTGTGGCGAGTAACTCACCTCCTGAATCCTGGAAGCATGACTCCCATCTACAAGGCACAAGTCAGGAGTGTGATGGAATACTCCCCACTTGCCTGGATGGGTGCAGCCCCAAAAACACTCGGAAGCTTGACACCATCCAGGACAAAGAAGCCTGTTTGATTGGCATTGTATCCACAAGCATCCACTCCCTCCACCACCAATGCTCAGTAGCAGCAGTGTGTATTATCTACAAGATGTGCCGCAGAAATTCACCAAAGATTCTCAGACAGCATCTTCCAAACCCACGACCACTTCTACCCAGAAGGACAAGGGCAGCAGATACATGGGAACACCACCCCCTGCTAGTTCCACTCCAAGCCATTCACCATCCTGACTTGGAAATATATCGCCGTTCCTTCTCGGTCGCTGGGTCAAAATCCTGGAATTCCCTCCCTAATAGCATTGTGGGGTGACCTACAGAAGGCGGACTGCAGCAGTTCAAGAAGGCAGCTCACCACCACCTTCTCAAGGGCAACTAGGGATGGGCAATAAATGCTGGCTCAGCCAGCGGCACCCACATCCCACAAATGAATAGGAATAAAGAAGCATGGCTCCAAACAGTAGAGAGTTTTCCCCGATTCGCATTGATTGCAGTTTAGCTGGGCCTCCTTGATGCTGCTGTTGAGTCAAATATGGCCTTGATCTCAAAGATAGTCACTTTCGCCTCATGTCTGCAATTCAGCTGTTGTGCCCCTGTTTTAATGAAGGGTGTAATGAGGTCAGGGTATGCATGTTCTGGCAGAACCCAAGCTGTTTGATTGACCTAGGCATTAATGAGTGCTGCTTGTTTGCACTGTCAATGACACTTTGATCAATAGGTGGACTGGGTTTGATGTGTGCTACTTTTTTTGGTCAGGTCATTACACAGGAAAGTTTCCACCCCTGCAGCTATATTGGAACAGCTTGATTAAAATCGCGGCTAATTCCAGAACACACACCTTCACTCATATCGTCAAAACGCTGCCAGAGCCTTAGCTGTATGTTGAGTTAAGTTCTAATTAACAGAGAAAGCATTAGTAAGCACTTAGAGCCCAATCTGCATTGGTAACTGTAAAATTATGCTTGACTAATTTAATTGAGTGAGTTGTTTTGAAATAACAGCTAAGGTTGAAGGAGGGAATGTGGTGCAGATTATTCGTGTGGTCTTTAAGAGAACATTTGCCAAGGTACCACTTTAAAGGCTGATGAACAAGTTTGAAGCTCACTGTCAACATAGGAAAACTGACTTTAAGAAGAGAAAGGAGTGAGTTTTGGTAAATGATTATTCTTTCAACTGGAAGTTGGTAGACAGTGGCGTCTCAGTGTGAGGGCCACTACTCTTGTGTATAAATGACTTGAAATTTCATCCCAATGATCAAAATTCATTAACAATTCCAAATTTGAAGATGTGGAATGTGGTGAGAAGAATGTCAATTGATTGCAATGCAATTTAGTCAAAAGAGCAGACAACTGGCAGATGGAATGTGATGTAGCTGAGAGGTGATATATTTTTGCAGAAGGGACAGTGAGAGACAATATACTGGTGCTATCCCATAAGACCTAATGGAACAAACAACCCTAGCCTACAACTACGTCAGTCATTGCGGGTGGTGGACCAGATTGTGGAAGTAGTTTGCAAAGCATATGAGATCTTGGACTTCATAAATAGGGATATTGCTGAACCATTTAAGAAACTGTGGCTAGGCCCTAACTGTCCAGTTCTGGTCATTGCACTTTGGTGTGATTTGGGATATGAGCAGCAGACTTTTGGATGAACTGAAGTTGGGGGGGGTTATGAGGTGGCCCAGCAGGACTACTGAATAGTTCAGTTTGGAGTTAACAAAGATGTGTTTGAGGTTCTGGCAGCAGGTAAGCTGACGTAGGGTGGAAATGAACTGTTTTGCAAATAGAGAGGACTTGGGATGAAATGTTGAGCCAGCCTGAAGAGAGTATGGATTGTTTCCCTTTAATTTCTGTCCAGTTTAACTGAGATTGATCTGATCTAAGAGTGGGTCTGCACGTATCTAACGTTCCCTGAAATGTGGTCCCATATTGAGTCAAAGATTTATTAAAGGAAGATTTTAATTTTTAATCGGTGTTTTGTTTCCACAGATTGTACTTCCACTAATACATACTAACCAACAGCCATGCCTTCTGATTTGGCCAAGAAAAAGGCAGCTAAGAAGAAGGAAGCAGCAAAAGCTCGTCAACGTAAACCTAAGACCACAGATGCACCTGAGGAAAATGGTGACATCGGTGTAGAGAGGGTGGAAAATTCAGAAAGGCCGCAACTGAATGGCTCTTCTGTTCATGATGCAGGTAGGAACTTTAGTTATCAATTTTAACATCATCTCCCTCTCCTGCTCTCTGTAGACTGCCCCTCTCCCCACACCAACCTGATCCCCATGGGCTACCTCAACACCAGACTCTGGTTCCTGCCTACATCCAAAGACTTTTTCCTAGGGTGGAGGTAGCTTTTACGAGGGGACATAGTTTTATGGTGAAAGGAGGTAGATATCGGGGAGACGTCAGAGGTAGGTTCTTTACTCAAGAGAGTGGTAGGGGCGTGGAATGCATTGTCGGAGAGGGTAGTGGAGTCGGCCTCATTAGGGGCATTTAAGCGGCTATTAGATAGGCATATGGATGATAGTATAAGGTAGCGGTGGAGGTTAGATAGACCTTAGGTTTCGGGTAAAAGTTAGGCACAACGTCGTGGGCCGAAGGGCCTGTACTGTGCTGTACTGCTCTATGTTCTATGTTCTATCACTTTTTTTCCAAATACACATGCCATTCTTCTGTGATGTTGAATTAAATTGTCAACCATGGCAAAGTTTCTGGCTTTCTTCCAACATGTTTCTCCTGTCTTTGTATGACCAGTTTCCTGAAAGCAGGAATAGTGATTGTGTTTGAGATATCAAGTATTTTTTGTGTGTTAGCCTTTTCACAGTTGGTGGGACAGGCAGCTCTAAGCTTGCATATTCAAGCCTTCCTCAAAGACAAAATCAAGGCTGACACTCAAAGCAGTGCTGTGGGAATGTTGTATCATCAGAGGGTGGTAGAACTCCACTGTTTTGGAGCTGCTGCCTTTCAGATGGGATGTTGAACAAAAGCTCTGCTTGCTCCACTAACTAATAAGACCATTAGACATAGGAGTAGGCCATTCAGCCCATTGAGTTTTCTCCACCATTCAATGAGATCATGACTGATCTGATTATCCTCAACTCCATTTTCCCACCTTTACCCATAACCCTTGCTTCACTTATTAGTTAGAAACCTTTTATCTCCGCCTTGAATGTACTTAAAGTTTCAACCTCAACAGGCCTCTTGAGTATCTTGTCTGTAACTATTCTCTCAAGTCCTTTCAGAATTTTAACAATCATTCTCAATCAGGATAGATACAGAAAGGTTCTTTCCCACGTGGAAGGCATTCTCTCAGAATAAGAAGGCACTCATTTAAGACAGAGATGAGGAGAAATTTCTTCTCATTGACTACACCTCTGCCTTCAACACCATTATCCCCTCCAGACTGATCTCAAAACTGCGTGACCTTGGTGTCGGCTCCGCCCTCTGTAACAGGATCCTCAGCTTTCTGACCCATAGGCTGCAATCAGTGACAATAGGTAACTGCACCTCCTCCACAATAACACTCAACACTGGAGCCTCCCATCCCCCCACCTTACTGTGTTGTCAAATTCTAAACAAATGCCATCTGCAAGTTCACCGACACCACCCTAGTGGGACAGATATCTAACAACGACGAGTCAAGATGCAGAAGGGAGATAGAGGGCTTGGTGTCATGGTGCAATGAGAACAACCTTTCTCTCAATGTCGGCAACACTAAAGAATTGATCACCAACTTAAGAAAGAAAGGAAAAGAACACCCCCCATCTGCATTAACGAAACGGAGGTCGAGAGAGTGAAGAGCATCAAGTTCCTCGGAGTGACAATAACCGACGACCTGTCCTGGACTTCCCACGTAAATGCAGCAGACAAGAAGGTACAACAACACCTCTTCTTCCTCGGGCAGCTCAGGAAATTTGGCATGTCCATAAGGTCCCTCACTAACTTCTACTGATGCACCATTGAAAGCATACTGTCCGGGTGCCTAATGACTTGGTACGGCAACTGCTCTGCCCAGGACCAAAAGAAACTACAGAAGGTGGTGTGCACAGCCCAGACCATCACGGAAGCCAACCTTCCATCTATGGACTGTATTTACACGGCCCGCTGCTGCGGAAAGGCGGCCAACATCATCAAAGACCCATCGCACCCCGGTAATGATCTCCTACAGCCTCTTCCATCAGGCAGAAGGTACAGAAGCCTGAACACATGGACCAGCAGGTTCAGGAACGGCTTCTTTCTGGCCATTATCAGACTGTTGAATGGACTTTAGCCTCAAATAATGTAACCTGCAAAGTAACTTGTATGCCTCTAAAGTCTTTTTGATCTGTACATCCTTTGCTTGCTGTGATCTGCCTGTACTACTTGTAAACAAAGCTTTTCACTGTATTTCCATACACATGACAGAAAAATCAAAATCAAAATTAAATCAATTCAGAGGTTACCAAACACAAAGGGCCTTTCTAGATGAAGAACGGTCATCTCAATGTTAGAATAGGGAAGCAAAAACTAACTGCAGTTCTGTTTTACCTCTGCGAATAGTCTGTTTTCCTGTGTGTCGAAGTTTATAAAGGGATTCAAGTTTTAGTTAGTAGTGTTAAATGCCCGTGGCTTTTATTTGTTTACTGTAGTTATAGGCTACTGATAAATATTTTTTTGTTCAGTGCAGAAACCTGGTTTATGCTTTCATCAATCTTCGCCAGAAGGCCAGGAAAATTTGGGGTAGCGTTATGAAACTTGGTATGATTCCAAGAATAGAGGGCTTGATTTACATTGTGCTACCCCAGTAGTTTGTAACAATCTATCATGTCATGTGCCTTGGTGTCTTCTCAGCCATACCTGGCTTTCATTGCCATTGTGACATGATTTTTCCTCTTTCGTCTTTCCTCTTTCCATAGGAGTGGCACAAATTACCAATGAGCTTGATGATTTTGAGCTGAAGAAAGCAGCAGCACGAGCAGTCACAGGAGTACTGGCCTCGCACCCCAACAGCACGGATGTTCACATCATCAACCTGTCACTCACTTTCCATGGTCAGGAGCTACTCAGCGACACAAAGCTTGAGCTAAATTCTGGTCGACGTTATGGGCTGATTGGTCTCAATGGAACTGGTAAGGTCACATGCTCAGTGAGCAAAGACATGCTTTGAAGTTCTTGTAGTTTATAACTCTGAAATGTTCAGGAAGTTGATAGCTGCTCTCTACTGTTTTATGCAGTGCCTTTTCCTTGGCTATTAGAATACATTCCTTTAAAAGCAGTGGAAATGTGATGAATCTGAAAGTCCGTAGTAATATGCTGTTGGCCAATGCCTTATCACCACCCACACAGGCAAAGTGGAGCCACAGGGAATGCGGAATGGCCAGCATAGTGGCCACTGTGTGACCAGAACACATGAACTGTGTGGCATTTGGCCAGTGAGTTCGGAATTTAGAAAGGGTCTTCTCCAGATCATTATAGTGGGGCACTTGGCTATTTTGGTAATAGTTGGATTTTCTGAAATGTGCTAGATTCTAACTTGCAGTTTTTGTGGACTTCAGACACTAATTTATATCTTGCTCACTTCAGGGAAATCCATGCTGCTGTCTGCTCTGGGCCACCGGGAGTTACCAATACCAGAACACATTGACATTTACCATCTTACACGGGAGATGCCGCCCAGTGACAAAACACCACTCGACTGTGTGATTGAGGTGGATAGGGAACGTATTGAGCTGGAGAAAGAAGCAGAACGTCTAGCCCACGAAGACTGTAACTATCCACTTGAACTTTGTTTTTTCCATTCAGGTCCACTCACTCCCTTTTATCCCATTACACGTTTAGTGGTTAGAAATCTATCCGTTTATTGCTCACGTATGTTCAGTGACATTGGCTTCACAGCATTCTGTAGTAGATAATTGTCACAGTTCACCACCCTCTGAAGAAATTTCTCCTCATCTCTGTCTTTCCTGAGATAGTGACCCATTGTTTTGGACTCTCTAGCATCCAATCTACCCAACCCCTTTCCAAGTTTTATACATTTCAATTTTATCTCTGCTGTCCGGTACAGTTAGCCTGACTTCTCCTTGTTTGTCAAACCTGCCATTGCAGGAATCAGTCTGGTGATCCTTTGCTGCCCTTCCTCTGTGGGAAGTATATATCTTCGGTAGGAAGACCAAAACTGGATATAGTACTTGAGGTGTGGTCTCCCCAAGGCCATATACGGGTAAAGTGCCGGAAAATTGGAGAGAGGCAAACATCATTCCCTTGTTCAAAAAAGGGAATAAGGATAACCCTGGAAATTACAGGCCTGTTAGTCTTCCGTCAGTAGTGGGCAAACTATTGGAAAGGGCTCTGAGAGATAGGATTTATGATCACTCGGAAAGGCACAGTTTGATTCGTGATAGTCAGCATGGATTTGTGAGGGGTAGATCATGCCTCACAAACCTTATTGAATTCTTTGAAGAGGTGACCAAACACTTGAATGAAGATAGAGCAGTGGATGTGGTATACATGGATTTAAGTAAGGCATTTGATAAGGTTCCCTGTGGTAGGCTCATGCAGAAGGTAAGGAGGCATGGGATAGGGGGAAATGTGGCGGATTGGATTCAGAATTGGCTGACCCTTAGAAGACAAAAGGGTGGTAGTGGACGGAAAATATTCAACACAGTGCTCAGTTATGAGTGGTGTACCACAAGGATCTGTTCTGGGTCCTCTTCTGTTTGTGATTTTTGTAAATGATTTGGATGAAGGAGTGGAAGGGTGGATTAGCAAGTTTGCGGACAATACAAAGGTGGGTCGCGTTGTGGACAGTGCAGAGGGCTGTTCTAGCTTACAAAGGGACATTGATAGGATGCAGAGCTGGGCTGAGAAGCGGCAGATGAAGTTTAACGCTGAAAAGTGTGAGGTGATTCATTTTGGAAGGACAAACTTGAAAGCAGAATACAGGGTTAACGGAAAGATTTTTGGCAGTGTGGAGGAGCAGAGGGATCTTGGGGTTCATGTTCACAGTTCTCCGAAAGCTGCCAACCAGGTGGATAGAGTTGTTAAGAAGGCGTATGGTGTATTAGCTTTCATTAATAGAGGGATTGAGTTCAAGAGCAATGAAGTTATGCTCCAGCTATACAAAAGCCTGGTTCGGCCACATCTGGAGTATCGTGTCCAGTTCTGGTCGCCTCGTTACAGGAAAGATGTGGAAGCATTGGAAAAGGTGCAGAGGAGATTTACCAGGATGTTGCCTGGAATGGAGGGAAGGCCTTACGAGGAAAGGTTGAGAGAGCTAGGGCTTTTCTTTTTAGAACGACGAAGGATGAGAGGTGACTTGATAGAGGTGTACAAAATGATCAGAGGTATAGATAGAGTAGACAGCCAGAGACTTTTTCCTAGGGTGGAAGTAGCTATTACGAGGGGGCATAGTTTTAAAGTGAGTGGAGGTAGATATAGGGGAGATGTCAGAGGCAGGCTCTTTACTCAAGAGTGCTCGGGGCATGGAATGATTTGCCAGAGCGGGTAGTGGAGTCGGCCTCGTTAGGGGCATTTAAGCGACTATTAGATAGGCATATGGATGATAGTATAAGGTAGGGGTGGAGGTTAGATAGACCTTAGGATTAGGGTAAAAGTTTGGCGCAACATCGTGGGCCAAAGGGCCTGTACTGTGCTGTACTGTTCTATGTTCTATATACGACTGCAGTAAGGCACTCTTGCTTTTGTACTCAAACCCTCTTGGAATGAAGATCAACATGCCGTTTGTCTGCTTAACTACTTGCTGCACCTACGTACTTACTTTCACTGACTGGTGCATAAAAGTTCCTTTGTGTATCAGCATTTACTTGTTTAAATAATACCCTGCCATTACATTTTTCCTACTAAAATGGACAACTTCACACTTATCCATATTATTTTGTATTTGCTATACATTTGTCCACACATCTCAACTTGTGTAAAATGTGTTGAAGACTCTTTTTACATGTTCCTTACCTCTCATCTTTTGTGTCTATCAGGGCAGAAGGAACCTTGGTTTCATAGCAGATCTAAATGATGGTAGTGCTGTCTCAGTACCACACAGGAGTACCTAGGAACATAAGAAGTAGGAGCAGAAGTAGCTTTCAGCCCCTCAAACCCAAGACTGCCTCACCATTCAACAAACTCATTGCTGGTTTGCCCTTAAACCCTGTTTTATGCCAGCTCATTCATAGCTCTCAACTTCCTGATAGTTCAAAAATCTACCTGAAGACCTCACCTTTAAATACGTTGTGATCTAGCTTTCACCACTCTCTGGGTTAGAAGATTCCAGGCATTTACTACTCTCTGGGAGAAGAAAGTCATTTGCTTCTCACTTTTAAAATTAATGTCCATTTAAAATTTTTCCCTGTTAGTGGAAAAATCTGTATGTACCCTGTCAAGCTCCCTCAGAATCTTGTATGTTTCAATAAGATCACCCCTCATTTATCTAAACTCTAATGAATAAAGGCAGAGCCTGTTAAGCCATTTTTGATAAGGCAATCCCTGCACCCCAAGAATCCACCCAGAGAGTCTTTTTCGAGCTTCCTCCAATTCCAAAAGGTACTTTTTAAACGTGGAGACCAAAGTTGTAAGCAGTACTTCAGCTACACCAATTAGAATGAGAGCAGAGCTGTAATCTCTCAGAATCACAGAATTGTTACAGTGCAGAAGGAGACTATTCGGCCCATCATACTTGTACAGGCTGTACAAACTGGTTTCGTTACCGATTGTCAATCTCCTTTATCCCCATACCCTTTGCACACGACCTTTATCCAGATAACCATCCCCAATTGTCCACTTGATTGCCTCAATTGAACCTGCCTCCTCCACACTTCATGACAATACAGTCCAAACCCTAAAGACATGTAAAATGTTTTTTTGTCACATCACCCTTGCTTATTTCGAAAGTCACTTTAAATTCATGCCCATTTGTTCTTTCTGTGAGTTGGAACAACATCTCCCTGCTACACATCTTCCTCCAGACTGAAGAATATCTGTTGAACGTTACTAATTAATGTGATAGTGATGTGGCAGCTAATTGTGCAGATATTACTTTAATGCCGGACCTAGTGTTCTTTGCACTGTCTGTACAGCCTTTGGTCTCTAATGGACCTCCTATAAAGTGTAGGTAAGTGTGAAAGATGTCACCTTTCACTCTGTGTTCAAGCTCTAACTAGCTACTACAATATGTGGAGGATGATTGATTGTGACTGTGGCTGGTGTGCGTAGCAACCAGCCCAAGTTGTTCTATCTGTACCCAGTTGTATTTGATCTTCTGGCCTGCAACTGTATTTTTCTCTCTCTTTCTGTCTCCCCCTCTCCCTCCCCCTCCAGCGGAGTGTGAGAAACTTCTACAAATCTATGACCGTTTGGAGGAATTGGATGCAGACAAGGCAGAAGTGCGAGCATCCCGGATTCTCCACGGATTGGGGTTCTCACCAGCCATGCAGCGGAAGATGATGAAGGATTTTAGTGGAGGCTGGAGGATGAGAGTGGCCCTTGCAAGGTAACCAAGCATGAGATGGTGCTGTGGGGAAGGCAAGAACTTCACATATAACCTCAAAATGAACTGGTTTTATACCTTCTCTGCTCTTGGTTCTTTTTTCTCTCATTTTTATCGTATCTATTGGTTTTAGCAGAGATGTCCAGATTCCCAGTCTGCTTCCTGATTTGTTTTCTAGTCTGTCAGCCCCATTGGGCTAGTTACTGCATCACCTTGATGTGTGGAGTTTGGATCAGGCTCTGTAGAAAGAGTTTCTGCTTGGGCTAATTCTGGACTCGTTCTGTATTTTCAATTCTAGCATCCTGTATTGTCAACTCCTTATTCATTGCTATTATTGGAATTTGCATATAATGTGAATTATGATTCTCTTGTTTTTATTAAAGCTCATTCCAGTAACTGAATGAGTTTAGATAGTGCATACAAAAAGTCACCATGAACTTGTGACCAGTGCTGATTGACTTGGGTTGGTCATTGCTAGCATTAAGCCTCTGTACCTCTCTGTCAGCTCCCCCTAGCTGAGAGGCCTGGTACTGCAGCAAAATTCCTGTAGTTTGGGGAAATATTTAAATTTGGGTTATTGCAGCTGACCTCCATTTACTTCTGCCTGTTTGTGATTACTATGGTTTCTTTTCTTATTTTTTTCTAGAGCATTATTTATCAAACCCTTCATGCTTTTGTTAGATGAGCCTACTAATCACCTTGATTTGGATGCCTGTGTATGGCTGGAAGAGGAATTGAAATCGTAAGTGGCTTTTTACCTGGCTATGCAGTGATCTTGCAGGGATAATCTTACTGCCCACAGTCATGTAGTGATCACAAAGTGAGGCGCTGATGGAGTGAGATCTGGATTATGTATACTTTTGATGTGTATCAGGCCAAGTGTGAGTCAACCTTTCTACAGGCTGCAGCAGCACTTTCAGATTTGTGATAGTTCTGATTCTACGCTTTATACACTTGTATGATGCAGGTGAATATGCTTCACATGGTGCATTTACTTGGAAACACGAGACGGTTTCAGCATAGGGGATCATTTGGCCTGGTCTGATCTATGCCAGCTGTCTGGAAGCACATTTTCGCTCATCAAAGCAACTGCCATTCAGTACCAGGGAATGCAAACACTCATTCTTCCTGTTCCAGTGGTGGAACCTGAACTGTGGGAGCTAGGCTACCCAGGAGAAGCATTAGCCAATATGTTTTCTCACAGCCCAGTGCACAAACTGAGTTCTTTCCTCTAAAATGTCTGTTGAGATGTACAGGGTAGTTGGACTTTTCAAATGTGGGCCTGAGCATGCTGCGTGTATTTGCCCCCTCCCTTAACAAAAATGAGTGTTTTTATTGATTGGTGCTGCATCTCCTATTGTAAAACCTGTTTTTGTTCTTGCCTGTTTTTGAGCACAGTAAAGTTGGATTCTAATTGGCTTCTCGAATGTTGTGGTTATTGAGTTGGGGGCTGAGACTTTGGAGATTTGAGTTACCCAATGTCACTGTCTGATTCCAAGGCAGGTGGTTACTGGGTAAAATGTTCTCCTTATGTATTTTATTACTTCTTTGCAATTGTTTCCAAGTCTGCTGGTAAACATGTTATTCAGTTAGATCATGTGAATGCCAGAGCTGCTGGGAGTACTGGAAATGTATTAAAGGTGAAATTTTTAACAAAACTTCGATTTTGATATGATTTTTGCTTTTCCTCCCACCAGATTCTCCCGGATCCTTGTCCTTGTATCTCATTCCCAGGATTTCTTGAATGGAGTTTGCAACAATATCATTCACATGCACAACCGCAAACTGAAATATTATACAGTGAGTACTCGGATATGAACTTACACTGAACAGCTTCCATTCTAGAACAGATCACTGGGAAAAAAAACTCATCCTGACGTGGCATTAAATTAACCAGGAAATACAGAAAACCCAGAATAGCTAAAATGGAAATAACAAGGTGTGGAGCTGAATGAACACAGCAACC